TGCTTGCTGGGCTGATCCTCACAAAAAGGCTCATGTGAATTCAAGATTGAGCAAGGCGTGGAATGTTTGTTGAGCTCCTGATGTGGTTCTAGCCCTTCCCTTTCCTGGCACCACACCTAATTTCCTTGACAACTTGGCAGCATCTGGGGCATGTAGCTGCCTTGTCTCAGAGCCTCTGAGCAGGCCACAGGTTGACCCAGCTCACTTTGGCTTGGGATAGCCACTTCTGCTGGTTTGGATTCCTTTGTAGCTCTCCGGGCCTTTTTGGGAAGGTCATGGTGACCTGGAAAGATGAAGCCTTTTTAATTTTAGTGTTTTGAGGTGGAGTCTTGCACTGTTTCTCAGGCTGGAGTGCAGTGGCATGATCTCGGCTCAGTGCAACCTCCACCTCCTGGGTTGAAGCGATTCTCATGCCTCAGCCTCCCAAGTAGCTGGGACTACAGGCATGCACCACCATGCCCAGCCATGAAAGGAACATTCTTAATGTCATGGTGGAGACCCTCCAAGGTCTCCTGTAGGCCTCTGACAGGCAGGGAGGAAGGGGGATATGCAGAGAGTAGGGTAGCAGTCTGGGAGGTTGGGTTCCAGGCTTTTCTGCCCAGCTGAAATGGGCCCTCAAATGAGTCCCACTCTGCCTGATTACTTATTGCGAATACCCTTTAGATTACAGGAAACAGCTTACACAAACTTTATACCCAGTGCTGGGTGCGGTGGCTCATGCCTGTAATCCCAGCACTTTGGGAGGTTGAGGCGGGCAGATCATGTGAGGTCAGGAGTTCGAGACCAGCGTGGCCAACATGGTGAAACCTTGTCTCTACTAAAAATAAAAAAATTAGCCAGGAATGGTAGCATGCACCTGGCTCCCAGGTATTTGGGAGGCTGAGGGAGGAGAATCGCCTGAAACCCAGAGGCAGAGGTTGCAGAGGGTCCAGATAGTGCCTCGGCACTTCAGCCTGGGCAACAGAACAAGACCCTATCTCAAAAAAAAAAAAAAAAAAGACAACAACTTTATACTACCCTTAAAGAATGAGAATGAGTTAATGAGCATTTGTGGTTCTCTGAAGCAGTGAGAAATAAAACCTCTCTGTTTAAGGGGTTGTGGTAAGATTTTAAAACTAATCTTCCATCCTTGTCACCTAGGGAGCAGGGATACTAAAATAGAGCTTAAGTTCCACCCCAGGACCAAAACTGTCACGTAGAGCCTCACAGTAATATCATATTGGATATTAGGGACTACAGAGCACTTTGTTTATCTCGTTTGATTTTCACAGCAGCTGTGTGGGAAGAATCACCCACTTTGAGAGCTGAGAACACTAAGTGAGGCTCAGCGAGCTGGGGTCTCATTTGCTGTTAGAATACTCTCACGCCCAGGCCTTCCCTGACTCTCATTCCTGCTTTTTTTTTTTAAGATGGGGTTTCACCATGTTGGCCAGGCTGGTCTTGAACTCCTGACCTCAGGTGATCCACCCACCTCGGCGTCCTAAAGTGCTAGGATTACAGGTGTGAGCCACCGTGCCTGAACTTACTCCTGCTTCTCTTGTCCTTGGGTCAGCCACAGTTGTGTTCTGAAATTCTCTGAGTTGTGAAGGGCCTTCACCCTCTGTTGCCTTGAGAGAGCCTCCTCGGGTGGTATCTGCTCAGGGCTGGTGCACCCCAGCCAAGGGCGGCCAGGGCCTCTTTTACCGTGGACTTGGTGTTCTGCCATTCAGGCATCTGCAGAACTCAAGTCATGCAGGAGCTTTTGTGATCGTGACGGAAGAAGCCATTGCCAAGGGTATCCGGAGGATTGTGGCTGTCACAGGTGCTGAAGCCCAGAAGGTGAGTAGGTTTGGCTGGTTTGTGGCTTGTTTGAAGGTGGCAAGAGGAGCGCAGTCTGTGAATCCCTAGAGAAACAGTGCTCTTCGAGGTTTCTGCAGTCAGTGTGAAAGCAGAGGCTGGGCCACGCCCCTGCCCCACTGTCCTCCTCATTACCCCTGCATGGCAGAAGAAAGCCACTCCCACACATGATTCTTTAGCTTTCCTATGTTTAGTCTTTTAAAATACATGTGAATCTGGCCATCTACCCACTACTGTCTCCATGTGGAGGAGGGGAAGATAGAGTCGCTGTGGCTTCAGGGCCCCCAGCACTGATCTGTGCACTCCTAGGGGCATGCTTAGTCTGAAGCCATGCAGTAGATGATGGATGCTCTGTCTTCGGAACTGGGGCTTTTGTTCCCCTGGGAACTGCTGAAGCCCCAGGGGTGGCCACTCCTGGGTTGAAAGGGGCTCCTGATGCTTGAGCTTGATAACCCCTGAGTCTGAATTGGAGCCTTTGCCAGTGTGCATGTGAGCACTGTGTTCCTTGCTGGGGCTGCCAGCATCTGCTCCCCACAGCCACTTTTTGGTGTGGTGGGATGTGCTGCTGCCTGGCCTGCTGCTGGGGCTTCCTGCACTGCTCCCACACCAGATAGTGAGGCTGACTCAGGCCTGCCTGGGGTTGACCTGGTGTTGTCCCCTCCCAGGCCCTCAGGAAAGCAGAGAGCCTGAAGACATCTCTCTCTCTCATGGAAGCCAAAGTGAAGGCCCAGACTGCTCCAAACAAGGATGTGCAGAGGGAGATCGCTGACCTTGGAGAGGTAGGGGTGGGCTCCTTTTCTCCATCTATCTGTCCATCCCTCCCTCCCCAGGGCCTGATGCATGAGGCATGCCCTGTCTTCAGGAAATCTCCTGTAATCAGTCGGGCTGTGGTTCTTGGTGGAATGGGCCTTCGTGCTGTGCTGGCTGTTAGTGTCCAGCAGCCTTGTAGCAGGTACCCTATGGGTCCTGGCCTTTGACCCGCTGCTCCCATTGCTGCTAGCAGGAGAGTTCTTCCCCAGCATGTGTGGGCACTGGGGTGGAGGGATGTGGGGGAGGAGCTGAAGCCGCCCTCTGCTTCCTAGGCTACCTCACATTTACTCACATTTCAGACTGCGAGGAAGCCCATCACAGGCTGTTCCCAACCTGGTAAGGAGCAGGCCTGACTTGAGAGCCCAGCTCTCTACTGCTCCTTTCTCTCTAGCCCTGCTTGTTTCACCTGCCACAACTGCTCCTGAAGGGACTGATCTCAAAGCCTGAAGTGTGTTCTCTCTCCTTTCCAGAACACTAGTCAGGGAGGACTTGGGTTTAGGCAGGGTTGAGGGGACTGAACCCTGACATCCCAGCAATTTGTGGCGCGGATTCATATGGTCTTCTGGTTCTAGGTGCTGGCCACCGCAGTCATCCCCCAGTGGCAGAAGGACGAATTGCGGGAGACTCTCAAATCCCTAAAGAAGGTCATGGATGACCTGGACCGCGCCAGCAAAGCTGATGTCCAGAAGCGAGTGAGTCCTGGCAGTGCCGGTGGCCAGAGCGGTTTCTAGGCAAAGGCCAGCAGGATTGGGCCTGGGTTTCAGAGCCTGCTGTTTTTCTGGACTTTTCTCCTGCAGGTATTGGAGAAGACAAAGCAGCTTATTGACAGCAACCCCAACCAGCCCCTTGTCATCCTGGAGATGGAGAGTGGTGCCTCAGCCAAGGTAACCTAGGGACCGGGGCCCTTACCCTGGGGCTCAGCAGCCCTCTGGTGGCTGATACGCGTCCTCTGTGGCTCTTAGCCAAGGGGTTATCTGGGGCCCCCTATCTGGGATTTAGGTGGGACTGAGCCCTGGGGTGATCTGGCTCTGGGTGGGAAGAGGAGCAGCTCCTTGCATGTGTGGGGCACGCTTGGGTGGGGTTGGGGGTGTGTGGCGGTCTTGCTGTGGACTGCAGGCTCTCACCTGAGTGGAGAGCAGGGTACCTGCTCCAGCACCGTGGCCTGAGCCAGCTCTTCCCACCCCCCGCAGGCCCTGAATGAAGCTTTGAAGCTCTTCAAGATGCACTCCCCTCAGACGTCTGCCATGCTCTTCACTGTGGATAATGAGGCTGGCAAAATCACGTGCCTGTGTCAAGTCCCCCAGGTCAGAACTGCCTACGACCTTTCACACCAGGGGGGCAGTGTAGGTCTTAAGCTTATTCCTGAGGCCTGTGTGTTCACAATCGGCATTTGAAACTAGACACCTGTTGCCCTTTACCCCGGCCTTCTCATTGGTGAAGATGTCTGGTTGATACTTGGCTTTGCCACTCTGTCCTTTCCTGGCTGTGGCTATGACTTCCCCCTTTACCAGCTGTTAAGCGTGTCTCGGCTGCCAGCATCACCACCCTGGGCAGGAGTGGGGGATGGCTCCTGCATTTCTTTTCCTCCATTCCTCATTTATCTTGTGTCCTAACTCCCCCTTCCCTTCTTTTCTTCCAGAATGCAGCCAATAGGGGCCTAAAAGCCAGCGAGTGGGTGCAGCAGGTATCAGGCCTGATGGATGGTAAGGGTGGTGGCAAGGATGTGTCTGCGCAGGCCACAGGCAAGAACGTTGGCTGCCTGCAGGAGGCGCTGCAGCTGGCCACTTCCTTTGCCCAGCTGCACCTCGGGGATGTGAAGAACTGAGGTGGGGAAGGAGGAGTTTGGCACTGGATCCATAGGTCCAGCCAGGAGTTCCTCCTCTGCTCTAAGAACATTAGAATCTTGGGACCTTTAAAGAGCTCCCACCATCTTCCTAACCCCACGGTAACTGGAAGAGGTCCTGTGACCCAGTATTCCTTATATGTCTGCCCTGAGTACCCCAGCATTGCTGTTGTGCATCGATAGGCATCTGGAGCGGACAGCTCTCCAGACCTGAGCTGTCTGGGTTAGCAAATGGGAATCATTTTCGCTGCAGAGAATAAAGGACCATGTGCAATAATTGACGCCGCAGGATCTCTACCCATTCCCAATGGGGGCGCGCCGTTTCCACAGCCTGTGGCCCCTGCTGTCTAGAATAAATGCTGTGACTCCTGCTGGCTGCTGCTGTATTCACTGTCTAGCCCCAGAACTCTGAATTTTGGGAGTAGCCCCTGTGGTTGCCTCAACCGTTTGTGGCGATGGAAGCCAAATAGGTGACATAGAGGGAGGTGTTCATAATTCAACAGAAAATGAGGGGTGGAAGCAGAGAAGCCTCTTTCTTCTAACTGCCGCCCCCCGCCCCCGTTGTATGTATGAACGCCACATGCCCTGCACTAGCGGCACCAAGGCTTTGAGGACGCCGGCCGTTCTCCCTCCAGGCCTTCAGAGGGCGCTATAGCGAAGCCGGCTGCTCCCCGACATCCTTCGCGCAGGCGCGCATCTTTAAGCAGCGGAAGAGCTGGTGTGCGTGGTGGAGCAGCGGCCGGAAGCAGGTCGCACGCCAGGCGCCGTGATGCCTGGGGACCACCGCCGTATACGCGGCCCGGAGGAATCACAGCCGCCGCAGCTGTACGCGGCCGACGAAGAGGATGCGCCCGCCGCTCGCGACCCGACGCGGCTGCGACCCGTGTACGCTCGCGCGGGGTTGCTGAGCCAAGCCAAGGGCTCAGCCTACCTGGAGGCAGGAGGCACCAAGGTGTTGTGCGCGGTGTCGGGCCCGCGCCAGGCCGAGGGCGGCGAGCGCGGGGGCGGCCCGGCCGGAGCGGGTGGCGAGGCCCCGGCCGCGCTGCGTGGTCGACTGCTCTGCGATTTCCGCCGCGCCCCCTTCGCGGGGCGCCGGCGCCGCGCTCCCCAGGGCGGCGGTGAGGAGCGTGAGCTGGCGCTGGCGCTGCAGGAGGCGCTGGAGCCAGCGGTGCGCCTGGGCCGATACCCGCGTGCACAGCTCGAGGTGTCTGCGCTGCTGCTGGAGGACGGGGGCTCAGCCCTGGCCGCCGCGCTCACCGCCGCTGCGCTCGCCCTGGCCGATGCGGGCGTGGAGATGTACGACCTGGTGGTGGGCTGCGGCCTGAGCCTCGCTCCGGGGCCCGCGTCCACCTGGCTACTGGACCCCACGCGGCTCGAGGAGGAGCGCGCCGCCGCCGGTCTCACTGTGGCACTCATGCCCGTCCTGAATCAGGTGGCTGGGCTGCTGGGTAGCGGGGAGGGTGGCCTGACCGAGAGCTGGGCGGAGGCCGTACGCCTTGGCCTCGAGGGCTGCCAGCGCCTCTATCCAGTGTTGCAGCAGTGCCTGGTGCGGGCTGCCCGTCGCAAGGGCGCCGCCCCGCCCTGAACAACGACGGACGCCACGCCGAGACCCGTGCCGTGGGCCTCGAGCCTGCATCGAGATATGCAGCAGGAGCCCCGGAGAGCACCTGGAGAGGCTGAAACAGAGCCGAGGCGCCAGACAGCTGTGGTGGTGGAAGGGCTTTTTACAAACCTCATTAAAGGAACTTTCCTCCTTTAGCCGGCTCTCAGCTGCGACCCAGTTGAGAACACCTGTGAGCGCAGCCTGACTTCCAGGCTGGAAACTTGGAACTTACCTGGAAGCTGGTATCTGGGAACTGTAGTCATTTAAGGGATAGATCCTTTGCACCGCCAGCCAGAGACTCCCTCTGACGTAACTGGGCGACTTTTGAGAGGTTGGACAAGAGGCTGTGCCTTCTCACCGTGTCTGAGCCAAAAGAAAAACACTTCTATATCTGAAAAGCGTCTTCTGTTGTGATTCTTCTTGGTCCAGGATTTTAGAGAGCACGGCTTCTTTGTTCTTACATCCCAGGTGGCAAGGGGCCGTGACCGCGGTGCCTTTAACCGGTCCCGTTCCTTAGACCAACTTGAACGGGACAGATAGGCTGCAAAGAACAGCTGCAGGACTGGATGTGGGCCCTGTGCTTTATAGAAGGAGAAGCTGCCCCCACACGAACCAGAGACAGGACAGCTGCTGAGATATGACAAAAGTAGGAAGAGTTGTATGGCCCCAGCGGCGCGCTGAGTGCACCCCAGCCCCCCACCCTGGTTTGGTACTGGGCAAGACCCAACTCGGCTGGGTAGCTGGAATGGGTTTTGCTCTGGGTGGAAGCCAGATCTGTCCTTGGCCATGTGGAGAACGGCACAACCAGAGGCCTCCACAGCCGGTGGGAAGTGGTGTCCTGGGCCGTCTTCACGTGGTGCCTTGGTCCTAGGAGGAAAACCCTGAGCAACGCCCAGAGAGGGCAGGTGAACTGCCAGGAAAGCCAGGTACGGCTTGGCTGCTCCATAGGGCAGAACCGGCCTGACTCACCACGAGGGTGGGGTCTTTCCTGTGTGGCTCCCAGATCTGCTGGTCTGGTCTCAAGGCTGCTCTGGACGCAGCCAGGTGACTGCCATTGAGAAGGCAGGGCAGCCTGGTCCGGTCTCTGCACTCGGCTTCTCGGGGAAGGGCCGGTGCCGGGCAGCCCAAGGACCAGAATGAGTTTCTGGAGCCACACCAAGAAGCCTTGACCAGGAAAAAGATTTATGAATTTTATTTTTTCCCTTTTGACTTACCTTTCCAGAGCAGGTCTGAAATGGTATCACACCAGTGGAGACAGCTCATGTTATTCTGAAGGATGGCTTTGGAGAGTGGATGACGAGTCTGGAGCCCCAAGAGGGTGGTGTGGGGTGTACGCCGAGGACCTTCCGGCTGTTTCGGGCAGGGAGGGAGACTGGGATCCCAGGGAAATCTGTTGGCTGTTGGTGCATCCAGAGGGGAGTGAAGAGCAGCTGTGGCCGTGTCTGCACTCAGGACTGAGGATTGCCCCTGAGTGCTGGGGTGGGGTGGGGGTGGGCTGTCAGCTGTCCCTTGGAAGACAGCCTCAGCTTCATGAGGATGGCGACCTGGTACAGTCCCAGGCTACCTCCCTCCTAACGCTGTCAGTCCCATGGCTGTCATCGTGAAATGTAACCTCCTAAGAAGCTAAACCTGCTGCAACAGTGAACCTTCCGCTTTTCTGGCCAAGCCCTGTGTTCTCTTCTATTGACCCAGCTCCAGAACGGGTATCTCAGGTTGCATGGGTGCTACCAGGAGGCCTTCACAACCTAGGCAAGGCAAGGACCTACCCCAGAACGCCCGGAGCTGATGAGCCTGGAGGAGATCCTGCTTCCTCTTGGCTGTCCTGGTCCTATGCGTGGTCCTCCACCTGTAGGGAAAGTAGAAGCAGGACGTTAGTGGAGGGGCAGGAGGCATGGGCTAGGAAAGGAGGGGCCCACAGCACCTAGTCTTTCTGCACCCACTTTCCATTTCCCCAGAGCTTTGGCACCTCAGATCTAGGAACTCAGAACCACCAGGCAAAAGAAAGCATTTTTTCTACATGGAGATGTGCCCATTCAAATGTTACAGGTGTGACTCAGGCCCTGGGCAGCAGAGAGAGCTCTCCCGAGCCCAGCAGGCCAAGAACAGAGCTGTGTGGGTGGATGGGGGTGGGCTCCCAGCACAGTGTAGGCCAGGCGTGGCCTGCCTCAGACCACCGAGAGTGGAGGTGATGGTAGAGCAGGGAATGTTGGGGCCCTCTAATTTCACACAGAGGGCTGTTACCAGTTCCAGGAAGGTCTGTGTGCCATAGCTTCTGGGGGTGGGGCATGGGACAGCTGGAGACCCAGCAACGGCAGGTGGAGATGGGGCCCGGAAGAGGGGCTTGGGTTTTAACAAGCTTACCAGCCAGGTCTCACACAAGGGCTTTGGGGCCTTGGGGCACACCTGTGACATTCCCTCTACAGTCCTCCTGTCCCTGTCCCCCCAGTGCCTTCCAGGAGAAGGTATTTCAGCCCAGAACCAACCCTGGCATAGCTGAGCCCTCCAAGCCTGGAATTGGGTGACAGAAAACAGGGCCAGGCCCAGCCTACTGAGCATGGCTCTGTGGCAGGGGCACACACCTCCCCTTCTTAACCACTGCGGGCTGCGGCTATGACCATGGGTCTTCCCTTGCTCACGGGGACCACGAGGAACAAAACACATGTAGGGTGGAGATGGGGAAGCGGGGCCAGGCCACTCACTGTCCGCTCTGTGTCTGTACTGCCCTCAGAGCCATCTGTCCAGGGACTGGCCCTCTGGCTCTGGGACTTCTGTGAGGACACAGAGCTACAAGAGGAACCCTTGCAGCCAGGACCCCTGTTCTTTCTACTGTCCTTTGTGGCTGTGCAGAGTCATCAGTCTGGCTGGGTTTGGAGGCCACAGCTGGTTCTAGAGAGGTCACCCGATGCCCAGCAATGACCTAGGGCCTCTATGACTTGAGAGGGCAACAGGTGGAAGGGCTGGGATGTGTGGCTCTAGCTCCAGGGGGTTGCTGAGTGGGTGGGGGCAATGTAGAAGCCACGAGAGTCCTTGAGCCTCAAGAACAGCCCAGGAATGAGAAGTGAGGAGCATACTCCAAGGAGGGGGTACCTGAAGACTGGGAAAGGCCCAGGCAGGGCCCCAGGGGCTGGGCAGCTTCAGGAGTGGGGAAAGCTGGGTTTGCACAGTGTGTGGGGATCAGACCTGCAGGTGGGCCCCTCTGCCAGTCCATGGGCTCCAGGCTCTGCAGCAGGCTGTCCACCTGGGCTTTGATCTGCCACAGCTCCCCCTGGATGGCATGAAGCTCCTTGGTCAAGACTGTGGGGACAGGGGCTGGGGTCAGTACCCAAGCTGGGCTCTGGGCCGGCCCTGACAGCTGGTGTGGTTTCCCGGCTGCTCCCTCACACTGCAGGTGCAGCTGTGGCCCTAACTCCTACTTTTTCTGCCCAGAAAGCAGGGGGCTGTTACTGGAGGCCCTGTGAGGGCTGAAGCCGCTCCTGACCCCCAGTTCCCTGTGGGCCCTCCAGATCTTGACAGGCCTGTGGTTGATGAGTGGGGGGATCCTCTGGTGTCCATAGACCCTGGGGACAGTACAGAGGGCATCAGGCTAGCCAGCCCCACCTGCTCACTTGGAGGACACAGGGGCAGGCCCTGCCCTCCTGCAGGGAACATCATCTCTGCACAGCTCGTAGTTCAGGTGCCGCTGCTGCTGCAGCAGAGGAGGCAAATGGGTCACTGTCCACGGACAAGGGCTCTGCCAGGTGCCCAGATGAACGTGGAAAACTGAAGTTCACAACTGTTTCTTAGAGCGCCAGCCTTCCTCACGGCAAGAGCCCCTGGAGACTTGCCCAAGGTCACTTTGGGAGACCACAGCAAACCAGCTTCCCCAGTCAGCCTCTGAAAAGCGGTCTTATCAGAGGCCAAATGGCAGGGGGGACACGACACCATCACCTACAGGCTTCTGGCAGCCAGAACCCAGTCCCCCTTAAGGCTGCTTTGTGAAGGTGGGCACTGCTGGTGCCCAGAGCCTTTGTCTGGCAAAAGATGAAAGGGAAGACATATGTCAGAGCCAGAGCCCAGTAGCACACTAAAGAGTCTTCAGTCCTTGCATGGGAATCGGCAGGGCCAGCAGGCATCGGCCAGGCCACCTTGGCTGTTGCTCCAGGCCCTGGGAGAAAAGATGGGCCCAACCACCCAGGCTCACAAAAGTGGGGCTCCCCGATGATTCTCACACCAAGCACCCCAGGGCACCTGTGCCAGGAGGGGTTCAGGGAGCGTGCAAAGGGACAGCTGGGTCCCAGCCCAGGCAGGAAGCACTGGGGACCCCATGGCTGGAGCTTCAAGCCCTTCCTGTGTCTGAGGCAGGCCCTGAGTTGGGGAAAAGGGAGGGGACACACAGTGGGGGTGGTGTCAAGTTCTGAAACAACTTTCTGGTCCTGCCACCCTTGCCCCCAGGTCAGGGCCAGTACACGAGGGGCAGGATGGAGGACATCGGCACCGGCCCTGTCCTTCCCATCTCCAGCCACTCCCCACTCCCACCCCTGCTTTCTGGCTTCAGGAGGTCTAGGTGGGCAGCCTGGAAAGCTTCCGATTGTGGTCAGGAGAGGGAGGTAAGCCCGCTCCCCATGGCGAGGTGGGTCTGGCCTTGGGGTAGGTGAATAGGGACCCCCTCCCCACAGGCCAGGAAGGACCAAGCATGGAGGGCTAGGGCCAAGATAGTGCTGGAGATGAAGGCCTCCAAGAGGACCACCAAGAAAAGTGCCCTTGACCAGGCCGAGCAGTCCCCTCCCTGTGGCTAAACACAGACTAGGCTGGGTGGGGTTGGGCCTGTGACCATCTGGGCCACAGTGGTGATGCCATGCTCATCAAGGCATTGGTGGTTCGGTGGTAAACTTCTCACCTGCCATGCAGGAGACCTGGATTCGATTCCTGGCCAATGTAAAGGTGAGGTTTCCTTTTCTCCCCACGATGTTCTTTACCTCATTTCTGTTCCCCAACATGCCTCTTTTCAGTGTTTTTGTTTTGGGTTTTTTCCCCCATTTCCCAAAAAGCCTGTTGTCAGCATTTTTTGGTTTTGGTGTTTGATTTTTTTTTTTAAGATGGAGTCTCTGTCACCCAGGCTGGCGTACAGTGGAGTGACCTCAGCTCACCGCAACCTCCGTCTCCTGGGTTCAAGCGATTCTCCTCCTCAGCCTCCCGAGTAGCTGGGATTACAGGCACGTGCCACCACACCCGGCTAATTTTTGTATTTTTAGTAGAGATGGGGTTTCACCATGTTGACCAGGATGGTCTTGTCCTCCTGACCTCGTGATCCACCTGCCTCGGCCTCCCAAAGTGCTGGGATTACAGGCGTGAGCCACTAGGGCTTTTTTTTTTTTTTTTTAAAGACAGGATCTTGGGGGCAGGTACAGTGACTCACTGGGCAACAAGTTAAACGTGACACACCATCAAAAAAAAAAAAAAAAAGAATCTTGGCCTGGCATGGTGGCTCACACCTGTAATCCCAACACTTTGGGAGGCCGAAGTGGGTAGATCACTTAAGGTCAGGAGTTTGGGACCAGCCTGGCCAACATGATCAAACCCCATCTCTACTAAAAACAAAAAATTAGCCGGGCGTTGTGGCAGATGCTTGTAATTCCAGCTACTCAGGAGGCTGAGGCAAGAGAATCACTTGAACCCGGGAGGCAGAAGTTGCAGTGAGCCAAGATGACATCACTGCACTCCAGCCTTGGCAACAAGAGCAAGATCCTCCTGCCTCAGCCTCCTGAGTAGCTGGGACCACAGGCCAAAAAAGTAATTAGCGTCCAGCTAATTATTTTATTTTTTGTAGACACAGGTCTCTATCTTGTCCAGGCTGGTCTCAAACCTGGATCACATGATCCTCCAGCCTCAGCCTCCCTAAGTGCTGGGATTACAGGCATGAACCACCCTGCCCCGCCTAAGTATACTTTTGTGAGTACCCAGAGACGAGCCATATACTGAAAGGGATTTTGCTGACTGTCACCCAAGCTGAGATAAATGCTGAAAGACTGCATTAGTGTCCGTGCCCATCTGCAGCTGCCTATTTCAGGCAGGGTGTTTTCCCTCGAGAGGCCTCCCTGCCCTGCCTGCCTTTGACAGTGCTCGGGCTGGAGCCTGTGCCCAGGTGAGTGAGCGGCCTTGCCCTTCTCTCCACAAGGGGAAGGACCTGGTTGGATGGGGGCTGTGGCTGCAGCTGCTCCCTGCTTTGGCCACAGGGTCACAGCCTGCTATCTGGGAAATTCCCACAGAAAGATACAAAATGCACCGTCGGAATGGCTCTGAGGGCAGAGGCCAAGCCACCTCCTCACGTGTTCTCAGGGCTGGGCTATGGGGCAGGAGGCGGGGACCTGGGGGGGGCAGTCCTTCCACTATGGCTTTCCCTCCATGTTGGGGAATTCCTTGAGCATGTTTCATGGTCTCGCTCTGTCACCCAGGCAGTGGCACAATCTCAACTCACTGCAGCCTTGGCCTCCTGGGTTCAAGTGATCCTCCCAACATCAGCCTCCTGAGTAGCTGAGACTACAGGCGTTGAACACCACACCCAGCTAATTTTTATTTCTTTTTTTGAGACAGTCTTGCTCTGTCACCCAGACTGGAGTCCAGTGGCACGATCTTGGCTCACTGTAACCTCTGCCTCCCAGGTTCAAGTGATTCTCGTGCGTCAGCCT